GAAACTTTCACACGACACAAAAAAAGGCGGTTGACACTCGGAAAGCGTCGTTCACAGACTGATGGACGCACAAAGACTGCAAGGCCTTCACTGTCCGAACCGCGTCGGGGTTTCTCGACTCGACCAGAATCAGGGCGCGAAATCGAGTGTGACTGGAGGAAGTCCCGTGGAGGGCATGGGGGTTCGCGTCCACTAATTCCGTCAATAGCAGGCTTAGAGGCTCTGGTTTCACAAGAACCAGATGCTCACTATGAACCACTGAACACCAGGGAAACGATACCGTAAAAAGAAAAAGGGATTCCATTATCAACATCCTGGTACTAATTTCCATTCAAAAGGAAACTTTCTCTGCGCGCTTTCCGAATGCTAACTTCCTGGAGGCATACAAGCTAAACCATCAGCCCTGGTATGTTGACCGGAAGACGCTAACTGCTATGACAGACCTCACGCTAAGGTGGGGAGGGGAAGAGAGGAAGAAGGAAGAAACAACCTCCGGATACCGTACGTTTAAAAACACAATAGTTAATAGTGGCACAACCCGGAAGGGGATAGGGAAGCCGCGTAAATGGTATCTACAGTTTAACTACAGCTTTGAAAAAAAAAACTATAGGAGACTTATGACGAGATTCTGAAAACAAGTGGAGCGTTATCTTGTAGCATCTGCCATTTTCATCGGAAGGTGCGCCATTTCTTGCCGAGCTATGTACATATATGAATATGGGAGGAGATGCCCCGAATCTAATCTTGTAAATCGGGAATGGTCGAACGGTGGAACGTCTTGGCAGATGACTCTATTTCTGGATGCCGATTAACACCTTAACTTGCCACTTCGTGAGAGTGCCACCAAAGTTATAACAATGGCCTCCTTTCTAAGAGTGCGACTTTTCTCTCTGGGAAACGGTGTCGAAATTTCAGAAGCAGGAGTTTTGTAATGCAAGAAGCGAATGCAGACGAGATTGCGAGAGGCCACCACGCAAGAAAATACCCGTCAATTACTGGATGAGAGCAGACGGGGCCCTTCTCGTGTCTGCATATACCCCCCTGCATAATGATTATAGCATCGCCACTAGTTCTCACATGTGAATTCCCTTTCGTGATGAACGATGCGACAGGGAAATGGAAATACCTCCGGCGTGGGAAAGGAAAGCGGAAGCATGAGGAAAATACCTAGCTGTAATCGCCAATCCAGAAGAGGATTGCACAATAAGGCAGAAAGTCCTTTTCTTAAAGTATAAGAGATATCCGGTACCCATCAACTGGTCTATGTGCCCATCTTCGGTCAACTCACCCTATCTCTTACATAATACAGATCTGAAATACGATAAACGAAACACCGGTTCAGGTCTCACATTCTGTCGTAACTTCCGAGGAAATTCTTGTGTCATATTTTAGGCTTTTCGAGATTTTCCTCTGGGATTGCAGTGAGAATTAGTAAGAACATCGCTCTTCCTATGAGCTCCAATACGAGAAGGGGAATCCTCGCACCTCACACATCAAGCTCCCAGCATGGTGTTAAATCTCTCCACTGTGAATGCCAAAATAATCCCGAGGCCACGACGAGAAGCTGGCCCCCCCCCCTCCCCCCCACGGATCATGAATGCCCCGTTGGGCGATGAACAGGGAAGGAAGAAGGAAGTCCGTCCATAAGAAAAAAGAGGCCGGTCATGCGGCCGGAAGCAGAAGCAATCAATAATGAAAGGAGAGACGCCTGCATGTAATTTGGTGAACTGGACATCCGTAGGACGTGTCGCCCCGGGCGACATCAAGAAAATCCTAGGGGTCTCCATCCTCATTCTCTTCTGTACCGTAGTCTTTCAAAGACATGTCCTGGGATTCCAGGTGAGTAGGTTAGGATGACGGTCATTAGGCGAGTCGTGGAGACATTCACCTTGTCATGATCGTCGTTATCGTCTACATTCTCTGCCTGACTCCGGCGAGATATGTCTACGCAGAATTTGCTAGCTTGGAGTCACGATTGAAAAAACTTTCTCAATTCCCAATAAAACTTTCGAAGAGCCGATTTCCAAATATAAAAAGCAAGGTGCAAGTACATTCACTGTCGGAGTCATTGTGAGCGAAGTGGATGGAGTAGCAGCGAAGAAAGGCTTGAACACAATGTCCGCCTCGTCATACTGTAATCGAATGCCGCACAGCGCTCGAAGCACTCTCATGATTGAGAGCCTTCCAACTTTCTTTTCCTCTCCATCATTCCCAATCGTATACGACCTCCGAGAAGCCCTCAAGATCTAGCGATCTCGCTTCTCATTTCTCTGAAGAGGAGAAATTATTCCGCAAGACTTCAGATCATGACTGATATGATTCCTCCTCTCTTTATAACAATGCCACTTTCTCTTGAGATGATGATTGGAGAGGAGAGGGGTTGGGGTTAGTTTACCATGAGGGGATATCATGCATCTTAATGAAATTATATTATTCAGTATGAAAGGGCGAGTGAAGACAAGGCAGAAACACGAAGGTACATGGCCCACCAGAGGGCTTCTCGTGAACTACGAAACTAAGTCACTCCTTCGCCTAGTGGTGCATAATGTGAGAATACAGAATGAGCCAACAGACAATAGTAAATTTTTCTTGTCGAGAGACCTGTGGTCTTGACCTATCCTCATGGGTCAATCGCAACTCGGACTTGACGCCAAGCCAGAGTCCTGCTGAGAGGTGACAGAGGGGACATTTTATATCTTGAGGACCATCTACATCCGGTTTAAAATTAAAATTAATTTTTTTGTTGTTTTGCTTTGCAAAGACAAACCGGGAAAGAACATCATTTGTGGAAGATGAGAAACTGCCGAGAAAATCAACTCCCGGCTACAACTCACATGATAGTGCTTTCTTGAATTTAAGTTGTCAAAAGCGCACAATACGCTGCAGTATCGTTTTGCGATTCGCCATTATTAGGGGTGTTCAATTATGCCTAACAAGAATTGCGATAATTGAATAAGAGCGCGCTCACTCAATAAATCGTCAAATCAGTTCAGTAATGTTCTATCTGAAATTTTAGAAAATAAAAACTACTCAAATTCTACAGGAATTAACTATTTATTTTGAAATTATTTATTTCTAATTAGCTTCCCTTGCAGAACCTTATTGAATTGACGAGACGAAATGTTTTCTCTCCTTTTTACCCGGCCTACTTGTTCGTTTGACAACAATGCAGAAGGCCAATTCCTTCAAACTATCATGAGCTCTCCAGCTCAAGAATTTGACCACACAATTTTTTCATCTGAAAGTAATTCCACAGTGTACTATATTCCCAGTGTTAAATAAGTTATTGACGGCACCAGGTTTGTGAATGCAATCTAGCCTATAAACTTGCAAAATTACCACTTGGACTTCGAACATTCTTTAAAATTACAGCCTGCATTTCTTGCTGGGTACATCAAGAAGAGAAGAAGAAGAGAACGTTCTGTAATAATTGAGAAGCATTTTTGGACTTTCCCAGTAGAGCTTTGAGATGAACATTCCTGTCAGTTATAAATTGTTTTCCCAGCTGAACCCATAGTAAGAAGCCTGGTTTCTCTCTCTCATTTGCTTGCAATGCAAGCAACAACAGAGTTTTCTATCATGCCAGATGGTCACTCTCTCCTTGAAAAGCATTGAATACATGCATCTCATGCTGACAGCAGTGGGGATATGGAATGATTCACATTTCCCTGTTGTTCCTGTCATGATTGAGGAATGTGTGGGGAAAAAGTTAGACAAAACTTTTGCTCAAGATTCAGTATATCATTAGGAGACCCATGGCATTGTTTTTGAGGTGTTCAGAGGTTAAATAATGAACTCACCTGGACTTTTGCACCGGTGTTCAGCCATTCATGAACACAGGTGATGACAAGCAGAGGAATACTTGAACAGGAGAATCACAAGCTAATTGCTGAGGAACACACAGGAGCCCACATGGGAAAATATTGCACATAAAGAACATTGTACTGTAGTTATCGTTGATATCGTTGATTAGTTGACAGAGATTCGTTGCGTCTATAGCTGCCCGTCACCTAGAGATGAGAGATGAGCAACACTTTCAGACTCTGTTCACTCTCTGCACTAGAATTCATTTGTGATCTTACTGAAAGATATAATGGAAACAGGTACATTAACCCCCATTGCCTAATGTAACTTCAGAATAATGGCAGTTAAGTTACATTTTAGTATAAAGAGTTCTACTGCTATGCAACTATGGTCCATTGTAACCTTTGAGTCAAACTCTACATACACAATATATCAGGGGTCTCAAACTTGTTTTAATGTGTAGGCCATGGCCAGAGATGGCAATCTATGTGGGCAAAGTGTAAAATCATAGAATGAAAAATCAACCACCTCATATTGTGTATATTGGGCCTGAAAATCTCTTGGTGAATATGGATGGGTTACAGGCTGCATTGAGAGCATTTGGTGGCTGTGAGTTTGAGACCCCTGCAATACACCATGATTTCCCCTTCTGTTCATTTGATTCTTTTATAATGTAATATTCTTATATGTTTCTTGAAATTTGCTCAATATATTATCACTTGTCTACTCATTTTATCTCTGTAATTTTGAAACATTTGACATTGTGACAATTGTAAGAAGAAGGTAATAAATTGCTTCTTAACATCATTGAGACTAAAAATAATTTTGAATAAGGTTTTGATGAGTTATTTTGTGTATCCTAAAGCTTTTTATGCCAATGGATTATTTTTTTCTGAGCCAAATTATTTTGGATACAGAGAATTAAAGGTGCATGATAAAAAAAACACTTGGATTTTTTTTTAAAAGGCCAATATATAATGCAATGGGACCTACACTGAATTTAAGAGCAAGGAGATTATCCAATCAGAACAACAGAGCTAATTCTTGTTTGATGACTATATGTCTCAATTTGAATAAGAGCTGTAGCCTGTGACCATTAATATATGCCATTACTGCAGAGGTTTGGAAACCCTGCTATCTGCAGATGACTGCAGACATGGTTCAGCTTCAGATAAAACTGGCAAAAAGCCATGCAATTGGTCAGGATAGTGCATATCACCTTCAGCACTACAAAATTCCCCCTTGAGATGAGATATGACAAGGAACATGGGTCAAAATTAAGAAAAAAAAAGTATCACAAGTTATGGGATATCACATTAACAGCAGAAACTTCAGCATTCCTATCTCTCCAGTGGTGTTTTGCAAAGGTCTGAGCCACCAGGAGAGGAAAAACCAAGCTTGCATCTCCATAGACCTGAAATTAGGCATGCAAGAACAAATGAAGAACATATCATTCAGGTAGGTTGTAGTCCACAGAACTTCACTGGCAAGAACAGACCTTAACAGGAGTGGCTTCTTTACGAATCTTTCCCCATGAAATAGCTTCATCTGGTCTGGCACCACTGTCACTTCCATCAAATTCACTGGCAGTGTTGATGAAAACAGAAAAATCAGCTCCATTCCTCTGTGGGGTAAATGAAGACATCAGAAGATGAAAGCAAAAGTGAAACAACTCAGTTCAGAGGTTCTCACCATAAGGTTGGCATTGCAAATATGATGCTTGACAAGGCCTCCACCAAGAATGATCATCCCACTATTGACTGCTTTCACTGCCATGGTATTTATGGCTCTCAGGTCTGGCAAAGTATAAAGATTACATGTATATCCATGATTGCTTTCAAGAAATATGAAATGCTTTTTGACCAACAAACTATCCAGCATTTAAATAATAACACTTGTAGCTGTATTACTTGAAATGATTCTTCATGAACCAATGAAGGCCAATTTGGCCAAAACATTCAGCTCTTTCTCCACTCTTTTTCATATGCAAACTTTTTTTTAGTGTATTTCCCTTGACTCAGACACCAGAGCAGGAGGAACATCCAGTGCATGAGTATCTCAGTTGAGTGAAACATTGTCTAACTCAAATGAAAAACACTGCAATAGACTCTGAATGGCACTGAAATTTTTTTTTGCTAAGACAAAGTCCAGCTGAGTATGCTATGAATGCATGGTGCAAACCTTGTAGTATATCCAGGACGAGTCCAGGATTGCGATAAGAATGGAAATAGAGCATGTCACCAAGACTGCCATCAGTCAGGGCAGGGCTGAAGATTGGTATGTCATTTTTGGATGCCCAATAACATATAGATGAAGGGTCTTTGATCTCAGCACCAATCCTTGAGATCAATTTTGAAGGGCTCCATGCAACACCACTCTGAAAAAAAAAGTCAGATGTAATGGTATGGACCTATGCCAGACTTGGCAATGAAAATGTATTGGACATAACATTACTCACCTCTTTCTGTTCTTCAAGTAGCTGATCCAAAATGGGCATCAACCAATCCTCAAATTTACAGTAGTTATCATTTGGTACTAGGAGATTTCCAATACGGTTGATTCCTTTGTCTCTGAGTTCCCTTCCAGATAAAGAGAAATCCCCCAAATATGTTGGTGCCAAGCACTTGATGATATCTTCTTCCACCCCTCCTGCTGTGGTAACAATGCAATCTGACAAAGAAGCAAACAGAAGCACAAAATTAAGTATTTCATACTGGAATTTGTGCATATCCATTCATTGATCAGACCAACCTATGAGATTGTGCTGAGCAAGGAAACGAATGGACTCCCGAACACCACAGGAAACCATGTTAGAGGTATACCCCAGGAATATGGTGCAGTTATTCCGCCTCAAAGGATCACACTCTACTTGATACTCTTCTGGGAGTGGTTTATCCCTCTCAGCAATCTAACATTTGAAAGATCATCCTAGGGAATACTTGCATAGCTACTATAAGAAGTGCTTACTATCACACTCTAATGATGAGCAAATGATGGCTGATAACATATCAGTCTGCATGTGGACATAACTTTCCTACCAAACAAAACAATTGTCAGAATTTTCATGCAATTCCTCTGTGAAATGGTTCAGTTTCAACCTTCCATTGAGTACCCAAAAGTTATCATTTTTATATTCTGTTCAGAAATCACACATCTACAACAGTACTTCAGTAATGTAACTCACCATCTTGCTGATCTCATCAATAGCCAATCCAAAACTTGTTGCTTGAAAGCCAGCATGCCGTAATGAGCCTAGGAGGGCATCGTAGTCAAGTCCCAAATTGAAATCATAACCTGAGGGAAATATGAAACCCTGACCTAGTGAGTATCCAAATAGAGAATCTACTTTTTCTGTGACACTATAAAAAAGCAAAAAAAATCATGTAAAATAGGCTGTTTCAAGGGATTGTCATGAAAGAGGCATAAAAGTTAACCAATAGCATTACAAACACAAAAAAACACCAACTTTCAATGGAAAGGGCCTCTATTATGGCAACTTATTATAACTGCAGATAAAATACATGAGGTATTGGCATGAAATTAACCCATGTGTCAAATCCAACACATGCAGATGGTTGGACATGGTTGGGAGCACATACTGGCATCACAAAATACTGCTTCAACTACATAGAAACAAGTTAAAAGTTGACCTTACAAGATCACATATCTGAGATACTTTGGATCTTTGTGCCAAATGGTATACATGAAATTATGGATGGTTCTGAGTAAGATCTTTAGTCAATCATTTCATCGTGTCCTTTCAATGTAGCCATCTTCCATTAAACGAGAAACTCCATGCACTAAATAGAATTAATATAGCACTCAGATACATACCTTTTACCACAGGAGTGCCAGGTGGAAGAGGATCTGATTTCACCAGGACTGCTTCAGTCGCCATATCAGGACCCCTACTTGCAGCTTTTGCTTCCATGATTCAGGTCACCAAGATAACCTACACTAATCCATGACAATGGAAAAGGAAAGTAAGGTAGGTCCTAATGAAAGCCTTATCCAAAATTGCATCTAATGATAGCTAACCATTTTCTTGAATTGAAAGTATTTTCTTGGATTTATTGAAATTGAGAAAATTATAACTAATGTAGTGTTTTATACTGATTTCTACTCACCTACCCTCCTTCCATGGCACTGTTCTGTACTATTGCCAACAACTACCAGGTGATCATAAATGTCACTGACAGAACAGGGCACAGTGATAAGTCCATTGAGTGACATCCCTTCCTGAGCAGGTGAACTACTTCAAAATTTGATGTTGAGTTAATGCAGTGTTTTCACTTGAGTCAATATTTCATTTGACTTTACTACCAGTGCAAGGGAAGTTTCCCATGCTCAGGTGTCTGAGGCAAGTGAATAACATGGAGAAGTTTTGGAACATGTCTAAACAAAACTAAAGTCCATCCAAGAAAAAATTATGGGTGGAACACAACACATACTTCTTGTTCACCTATGGGAACTTTAGCTTCTAAAAACTTGAAAATTGGCAGCCATACCAAGTCATTCTATTAGATGGAGTTACTTCGGCAAGTGTTAGTTTTCCTTGATAATACATGAGAGCAGACAGAGGATGGCCCATTTGGCGTGAATAGATCAGGACAGAGCCAATAAAAATGGACGTCTCGACTCCTTATCCTAGGCCTAACAATAGGATACACCATGGCCTAACTTATAGTAAGCCGGAGAAAAAGTTATTAGCCATCAGAAGCACAAAAGCACCTCTTGGAATCCTACATTAACTGATGGTAACACACAACTCATCCTGCGACAAATTATTACATTGGCATTGACCAAATGTAATTATACATCCCTCAATGCCCGGCCGAAGTCGTTGGGCAAAGAATACTCTTTACACGGGTCATTCACACGATCATTCAATCGATAGACACGAGGGAACATGTGAGCCGCCATCAGGAAAGTCAAGGTGGCAGTGTTGCCAGAATGTGCAATCAGGTGCACTCAAGGAAATTCCCTTAGCTTCAGCAGTTCAGGGAAGACTTTCGAAACCTTGGAAGCATTCAACACGACAGGATCATACTGCCTAAATGCAACTAATTGAATCGTCATGAGCGCCAAGTTTGAAATAAGGAGTGGACCTCGACCGTTTCAAAGTGCCTATAAAGACGTATTCTGAGGTATTCAGGGCATTAGACTTTAAATAGGACTTGAATTAGGGGGAGAACTTACATCCGCTTCCTTTCGTCCGCCAATTTGGCCCATGGATAGGTTAGAACGAGCAACTCGACCTTGACACGGGAATGTCCTGAAGGACAGAAATGCTTTTCAATGTCCCTACCTGAACTTTGAACTGGAGACATGAGCGAAACAAGCGGGGGACATGGGTGGCATTTGATCCCTTACTTTTCCAGATGGCGCCCCTCCCCCTCCCCAATTTTTATTCTTAAATGCATCTGAATGCAGCCAGTACGACGCATGAGACTCGAAGTAGCTAAGTACCGGTATATGGAAAACTAAATTTAATTCCAGGCCAAGTTAAAGGGCTGAAGGGAATTATCCTGTTAGGGGTCCTAACTGGCCAATTCTAAACTAACTTAGGGCAGGCTTGGTTGACGTCAAGTAACTATTCTTTTGTCTGAAGTTCAGCGTCTCTTGTCCATATTGGCTTTCCCTCCTATCGGCTAAGACTATCAAGAAAAAGAAGGGAGTTCCTAAACGCAGTCAACTTCAGCCTGGCTTGAATCCTTATTGGGGTGAAATGTAGACTACGGTTCGACGCCATATCACGGATGAGGAGCGCTTAAACTGGGTCGCTTTTCGAGTTCTTGACGAAACCAAAAGCTGCAAAGCGTGATGAAAATTCGGGAGTCGAAAACTTAAGACTTCTTAAACGGTGCCACTGCATCGTCAGCTGTGATCACAGAAGTGAGCGTGAACCTATGCATTTTCCGATAGTGGTCACTTTCAGCCGCGTAAATATGTACTTTCAAGAAAGGCGACAGGACCTTTCAATACCAAGTACTTTGATACATGGGCATGGCATCATGCCACTTGTGTTGTGAGGAACGTCGTATGACCTAGAGCCATCTATATATTACAATTTTTGGAATCAACTATAGGTTTAGTGGGACCTACCCTATACTGAAATTACTTTGCGATCCATTGAAGGCTATTGTACTGTATCTTAAACCTTATAAATTACGATTGATATAGCACTCATCAGTACTATTACAGAAGATATATAAGAAATCCAGAGAATTGTAGTCCAATTCCCTTAAAAAATAATAATAATGAACATTATCCAAACGCTTGGAGAAACATTCTCCAAGCGTTTGTCTAAACTAGGGATGCACAACCTTCGGCCAGCGGAAGGACTTCATCCGGCCCGTAGCTGGATGAAATCCTTCTGTTAGCACTGCCATCCAATAGGATATGCCATCCAATTGAAGATTGTCCTGCGTCCCCGATGTCCGGCACCGCAATGAGTACCCAGTAGATACTATCTGGCCCTTTGGTTAAAAGGTTGTGCATCTCTGATCTAAACTATTCAGTTCGTTGCTCGGAATTTCTTATCGCTGGTAAGATCTCTTCCTCTTCTAATTCATTATACCTTGTACATGACGACTCTTGCTTGAGTATTTGCAGGGCAATGAAAGTAATATTATTAATCTTTATGTTTAGAAACAGACTCTTCCAACTTACGTGAAAATTGAGCTCGGAAGAGCTGAAATTTCAAGAGACAATCCGCTCTTTCTCAAAAGTTTATGCTTTTTTTTGGTACTTGTGCCTTTAAAATTTCCTATTCGCAAACAAAAAGACTTAGCTCCTTAGAAATGAGGTGAACTGATCCCTCCAACTCTCTTCAAGTCGTTTTGGACCACTTCCCCCCCCACAGAAACGTAGGAGAAATGATGCCTTCTTTTGGGAAGTGGATTTCTATTAAGCCCGCCGCACACAAGACAATTTTTGTCGAGCGACCGTCGCAGATGAGACCCCGGGGGCACACGGAGGAATCTGCAAACAATGTGATTGGTCGATGCTAGAATTAGGGCCCGCCTACATCGCAGCAACATCGCAGGACCCCTGCACACGGAGCAATAGTCGAGCGACGGCAATATTCATTACAGGAAAAATGAGCAGGGAGCAATGTCCTGTGATGGTTGCACGACCATCGCAGCACCCCCGCTCACGGAGCAATATCATGTGGAGCGACGGTCGCACGACAAATATTGCCTCGTGTGCGGCGGTCTTTACCAACTCTCACGACATATCCAGCGTCGAGGAAACGTACGAGCAGCATCGAGGAAGTTACGAACAGGAAGGGCATAACGAGGAGGGGGCCAATCTCGGTGAAAGATGACTCTCTCAACCAGACCCCCCACAGCTCCCAATTCAGGAAGGAGAAATGCCTGTATCATTGTCGGGTTGTCAGGTGGTCGGGAGAATCCCGGTGAGACGATTGAACCTGAGAACGATTCCTCGAAAGTTAATGCTTGGCGTGCCCTGTCCCGGAGCCGCTTTATCGGACCCTTCTACCATAATTGCACGGTGGCTGGAGCTGACTGACAAGAGCTTTCAGGACCTGCAAATTCCCAGGTCGAAAGTCGTTAACGTCGTTCGTTAGACGATCTCAAAGGGAAAATCCATAGGGGGTAGATCTGGGGAATTGGCTGTCCACTCTATTACGCTTCCACTGCCGATCCATCGTCCCGGAAAGTTGTTGAGGAAATTGGGAGCTCTCACTATGGACTATCATTATGGGTTGGTGCACCATCGTGTTGATCGCACCACAGTGACCACAGTGGCTTCTGGGGTATAAATGGCGTATATTTCTGTTGAGATTGTGGGATCTGGTCGATCTCAGGTATGATATTTACCTGGTGCATGGCGAGTTAATTGGTACCAGGGTTCGTAGTTTCGAGAATGATATTTAAAAAATGGGCACAAAATTCCTCCATTCCAGATACCTGCGCACACGCGGATCTCGGGAGTACCTCAGAATGCCTCTTTATAGCGATGCGGATTTTCACTGGTCCATTGGCGAAGATAGGACCTGTTGACCTTCCCATCTATGTAGATGACGTCCTCGTCGCTGAAGATGATGCACTCGGAGGATAACTTTAATATCCTCCGAGTCAATTCTGTTGCAGATATCGTAGCAGAAGTTCATCTGCTGTTAGTAGTGTGCCTCAGGCCTTGCACTTTGCAAGGATTGAACGACTTCGAGCAGTTCTCTTTCAAGATTTTATGAACTGAAGTCTTTTTTGACTTATTCAAAATCGATCCCACCTTTCGTATGGACATTTCAGGATGTTGCTAAAACTCTGTCTTTGCCGCTCTGGAGGAGGCGTTGCTGTTTTTGGTCCTCCTTGACTCCATGCATTGTCAAACGCTCCTGTATCGCAGGAACTTCCCATGGAGGCTGTAAATTGAAGCTCTAGCTGGCGGAGCTTTGCCATATGTTACCTGGAACTTCTGGCGTACAGTGCACTTCAGTGTACCCAGAACAGCTTCGAGCTGGAGCTAAATTCATGCATTAGAAATGAAGGAAAAGGTCTGACTCAGCTCAAGCTCTGCCTCAAAGCTCTGAGTTAGGGCTCAGGTTTTATTAATATGACCCAAAGTCGATCTTTTCTTGATTAGAATAAACGGGTGGCATCGAGAGTGAAAACAGGCTCTCTCGAAGTCTCTCAAGTGTAACACCCCTTGAAGATGACAAGCATCCAGAACTTTCAGCGTTCAGATCATTCCAGGACACACTGTATATGGGAAGTTTGTTTCATTTAATGTGACTGTTCTTATGGCTACTTTGTTTGATTAGGACAAGATGGCGGCTTCCATAGTATGGGACCGTTTGACCGGTGGATTTAGGGGATGGCCCACACTTAAATCGTATATAAGCCTGAAGTTCGTCAGATATTTTACTGCTACCAAAACAGATCCCACACATTTCTACTCAAGTATGCTTGTAACCAGGGCTTTGGCTGTCATTGGATGCAACCTGACAAAAACGTGATGCTGAGCAAATTTTGAGCCTGACTGTATGTTTGGCCTATGTTTCTGGGAAAGTCAGAGATAGAAAAATGTTATTCATATTTTTCTCAAAGGTCGAGGAGACATCGTGCAGCAATCATTCTAGCCTTGCCTTAATTCTTGTTAATCTTGCATAGGCTTTCGTATCAGTCAGCCCCTTTGCAAGCACTTAGGGTTACTATCATGAAAGGATTATAATGCTCTGTTAATGAATTCGTGCAGCCATCAAAAGGGAACTATTCTTTTCTGTAAGAAAACCCCTCCAACCTTGATGGTGTTATTGTTATCACTGCACAAGTGTGCCATTCAATATATCAGATGTTAGTATGAACTATTTTGGAATATATTTACCTTGATTTACACAATTCACCATATTTCCCATGGAAATAGATGTGCCCTGTACTTTTTGCCTTCCGATTTGAGTTATAGATAAGGCAAGGAGAAGGTTTTTTCAATGCTCAGTTAGGAGGAGAGTTAATTATGAGTTGCAGGAAGTGATAGGGAATGTTTTCATAGCATCATAACATACACCTGTGGTCAACCAGAGCTGTGTGCAATTTATATTGTAGATTCTGTTTCTGTTCAGCACAATATGCACATTGAGTTTTTTATATTTAGATTTTCTGGAAAATGTCAGGCCCAAGTGCAGAAACCTCATTTAGTACAGAAAAAGGCAACTTTAGGATGAAGAGCCCCTTTTTCCCCCACAGGAGTCCATGGATTCCTGGAGGACCATTAACTAAAGAAGGTTTTAGCATTCAGGCCTTTGGCTTTTGATGTTATTGATGTTTACCTTCAGGATTCAAGTGCATTGTTATGTTAGGCATTGATTCTCTCTTAGTGAATTATTTATTCTTTCAGACTAACTGTGATGTCATCTTTGGAGCACAATAGTTTAGAAATGAATGATTGAGTGATGAGCTGTGGTTGATTGTCTGGAAAGAACAGTGTGAATTACATCACATCCATATGGAAAAGTCAAAGTTGACTTGATGTAAAGTAGACACATGGTATATGTGATGTATCATGTACATTAACACACTCATTACAAGGAGATGCTTAGGAAAATCAAGCAAAGTTTTGAGGTGATAGGGTGAGGCATAACCTCATCCTGTGACCTTGACAATGTAGAAAAAACTTGTTGAACACCCAAGGAATGGAGGAAGAGGGTGGTGACATCGTTACCAATATTTTAAAATTTCCCCCTTCAGCCCCTAGTTATTGGGCCATTGTTGAATGACTCAACTGCAAAGTGATACAAAGGTGAAATCCCTGAAGGGAATTTTACTCAACACATAAGAGGAATTTATCAAAACCCTTTTTTAGTTTTTGAAACTGCCTGCCATCTTTGCTCAGTCATGTTTGAGCCCACCAAAGTGACATATCTGGTGAGGAGCTACATATAGATAGCTTGTTCAGTGTGGCTTTTGGCACTTCATCTTGAAGAATTTATTACATATGAAGTACTGGGTGAACTTTTTGAAACTTAGCAGAAGCAGCCTAATTATTCCAACATATCATGTGGGAAGAATCATGATGCTTGCATTATATTAGGTGGAGACAGGCTAGGAAAACCCTTGCGAACCTGCGAATGAGGTTTGCGGGAATGGAGACGTGTGGGCGAGCAGCCCGCTTAGTCTGCTTGCATATCCTTCCTGGGAAATTCCAATTTATCGCCTCTGGTTTGCGGGAAAAATATATATATTTCCAACACTGGGTGGAGATACTATTGAAAACAAATTGGCCTAGTTTTTCTTTTTTAGTTTAGATTTATTTCCTTGGGTTGTGTTACTGGTACTCCGGTAGCATTTAAGCACCTATACTTTTAGGTCTAACCTATTCCATATACCATCAATGTATTACATGGCAATAATCTCTCACAGGCAAGCTTAATCTTTCCTTAGTTGAAATAATGTCTGGAAAATCAGGAACAGGCTCATCTCTTGGATTTGGTTTGGAAGAAATAGGCATACCAGGAAGAGAGTTCTTGCGGGAAGCTCTAACAAACTGTGGTGATCCTTTGAAGGCCATTGAAGAGTTTCAGGTGAGGAAATTCTTGCTCTGTCCACCAGTGGTTTTCATGATTGGTATGCTCTTTGGCTTGAAGGTCTTAGAATGAGTATATATAAGCATATTTACATCCATATGCTTGTCTTCTTCTATTAGCATCAGTATATTCTCTCTGCTTTGAGTTATATCTTATACAGGCAGGTTTGATAGGCTTGGTATACATATACATAAGTGAGCTGACCCCCATTTGACTGGACTAGACATGGAGAAGGAGGACAAAGCCATCCTCTGATCATATTTACCTAACAGTTCTGAGAAGCTGAATGACCCAGAAAGATGGTTTTTCAGGTCATATTATCTAACTGATCTATGTGAATTGACCAAAGGAAGGTTAGTTTTTGAGATTTGATGAATGGAATTTTGGTTCAGAGAGATCCAGCCAAATTACAACCACTGATGTATCTGTAGATATACTGCTTAATCTTCATTCTAATGAGCAAAATGTATTGCAAATGGGATTCAGCACTAGTGGTAGAAATCAAGCTTTTTAAATTTTAAATGTTATACCCCTGATATAAAGAACAAGGGAACATACATGTTACTTTGTTATGAAGGGGAGTTCATTGTTAGTAGAAATTTTATACATGTGGTTTTTCAGTTGAGGGAGAAAATGTTTTTTGTTCCATTGGGAATTTGGCTGTATCCAAGTTTATTATGAGAGGAATTTACTGTATTATCAAGGTGTAAAAAAGCCAAGTGGTTAGGTACATATTATCTTTAGGAAACAATTGCTTGATTCCTTTTCCAGAACAAGATTAGGTTTGCAAAACTAGTTTCTCTGTTTTATTTCTATTTTTCTCTTTCTAAAATTTCTATTGGTTTAGGTAATGCCTTGGGAGTTAAAAACCTTTTGTGGAATATACTTGTCTACCATGCTCAATCCCTCCTAATGAAGCAATTATTGAAGTTAGTTCTCCTAACATTAGACTGCGTGTTAGATCAGCAGACTTATGATCTATTCAGATTGTCTTAGTGAGGAATTCAGTACTACTCCTTTTTTTGTGTCCATAATGGAAACTTGAAACGATCCATTAGGACATAAATATGACATGCATAAATTGTGTTTCATAGAAATTTTTTCTGCCATTCATTTTTGCAGATGGAAAATGGCATTCTCCTTCCATCTCTTCGGCCAATGCTTCCTCTTCTTGACTTGCATGGATTGCGTAGATATGAATTTCACCAATCTGTGATGGAGGTGAGATGTCACTTAAGTCATGGTTTCACTAGAATATCATACACCGTTTTCGGATCGAATTGGTACCCCCCCCTAGGAGCGCTTCCATCAAGTACAGGCAGGACACCTTGTGGATGGAAGGTGAAGTAATAGAATCATCCAACAACCATGTGGAGCATCAGGCTTGACATCTTGAGGATTGTCTGGAAAGCTTGTGTTTTCACCGTTCTCCATAGTAGGGGGGTACCAATTCAATCCGAAAACAGTGTACCTTTGTAGTCCCACTACATATCCAGCTTCCTTTCATCAGGATTTGCGTGAGAAACTCTTGAGTCGTATCTCTGAAGTTGGCCAACAGGATACTCCTGAAAAAGATGACAAGCTTCATGAACTTCTCACAAAGAGTTTCCCTGTGATCAAGATCGAAGGACTTCGCCCTGTTGTAATGACAATCTTGAAGTACATGAATCAAGTGCCTCCCCAATACCTCAAAGTCTTGGTATGTTTTTATTTGGTATGGTATGTTTCTATTATTTTTGATACTTTGAAGTTGAATCTATAGAACAGGTGAATTGATCAGTATATCTGATACTTTTGACTGCTTTTATTTAATCCTGTACAAAAACACATGTGAAATGCACAATTACATGTTTTGGCTTTTGGCTGCATGGGTACAAGTAATAATAATTTTTCTGTTAGTTAACTGTTGTTACTTTATCAGCAATTTTTTTTTTGTGCTATATACTCCCTATTGCCATGGTTGTCAAACTGTGAGAACTCTTCTGCTCTATAGGTTTTGCTTCTTGTATTTTCATTTTCTAATAGGTTGCAATACAAGCACATCTCATTGTATAAGAAGAAACTGAAATTCCAAACAAAAAACCAGAAGACACTATGCATAGTTCAGCCTCCCTCTCAGACTTCTTATTTGTATGAAGTACTTTGTGCCAGTGTTTTCTACACCTATGAACTTTTTAAATATTGATTTTGCAAATTTTTACATTTGTTTCATTTTATATAGGTGAACGACAAGGAGTTGTATAATGACTGTGAAATTGAAGTAAAGAGGCAGATCTGGCAAGATAATCAGTCTCTTTTTGGTGATGAGGTTTCACCACTGTTGAGTCAGTATATTCGTGAGAAGGAGGATGTTCTCTATGACCATGAGAATCTCACAAACCTCTTCTTCAATGCCTCACCAAAGGTTAGTGCCTACTAGCTAGATTTGATTATGTGAGTGAGTCATGGTCTCACATGTGAACTCGTGGCATTCACTCACTTTAGTCTAAAAACTTCATTCAATTGCTATCATCACCTGATAGCTTGATTAGACACTGTGCTTGTATGTATGATTGTATGTGTGACTGTATATGAGCCTATGAGCTCTTTGAATCAGAGTATATGAGCAAGTCATGGACTTGTGCATTTCTCACCAACTCACAACACCTTCATATTTCCCTTATTTTCTGATGATTCCATGAAGGAAACATTCTAGCTGATTGGTTGGCATGATCAGTCAGCAAGGCATGGCTCGTTCCTTGCAGCCAGGCATATTTGATTGAAAAGTAGACCTATATGGTGTCAGTCTTTTTGGAATCCCATCTTTTTCCCCCTTGCATATCTTACTTCAACATGTCTCTCTCATGCTAGCATCTTTTACTTTTTTTTAATGGAGTTATAAAAAGAAGAGAGTGATTCTTGCTGTAAACCAATTTCTTCTCGAAAATGTAATCCCAATGTGGTTTCTACAAATGTAACAAGTCAGACCTGCATGTCAGGAACTAAACATGATAAAGAGTTCTTGAAAACCCATGAACTTCTCCCATTGCCATGCTATCACTTGTTCATAGCATATAGATTCATCTGAACCAAATAATAGCATTTAATTGTGTCTCAACAACATAAAGGTCATGGTGTTATTGAAGGACAGGACTCACATTGAATTAAAATTGTTAACATTATAGTGTCTTCACTTCAAAAAAATTACTGGTGCCCCATGAGAACCTGCTTGGGATGTTTTCAGGTCAGGAGACAAGGAAAAGTGGTTCAAAAGTTGACTGAGATGATTGGGAAAAATATTCGTCTTTATGACATGGTCCTCCAGTTCTTGAGAACCCTTTTTCTTCGAACAAGAAATGTTCATTATTGCACACTGCGAGCTGAACTCTTGATGGCCCTTCATGATCTTGAGATACAAGTAAGTCAAAACTAAGAATTTTAATGTGTATTGAAGAGTTGTTGTTTCTATTTTTGATGTCTCCTATACCTTGCAGGATATAACAGCAATTGACCCTTGCCACAAATTCACTTGGTGCTTGGATGCTTGTATTCGAGAGAAGAATGTTGATCCAAAGCGATCTCGAGAATTGCAGGTTTGTTAGTCCCATTTTCTTCATAAAAAAATTATACTGAGGGTAGAGGTCTGCTGTTACCATATGAAGATAAATGTCAAGATGGGGAGAGTGTTTCCAATCCTAAGTGTAACTCATTCAAATTGAGTAAAATCTGTTGAGAACATGTTGTGGCCAATATCAGATATCATCAGAGTATGTATTGATATATGAATAATTTATAGAAATTTGGATATTTACATAATACTGGAACTGGCTTTGCATTTTATATCCATAGTCATTCCTTGATGGCATGCGGCATGGCCAGGAAGAAGTACTGGGAGATATTGCCATGGTCCTGTGTGATCCATATTCCATCCATTTCTTGTGTACATCTTCTCTGAAGATTATCCACCACTGTATCAACAATGAACAGCTACCTAGAGTGAGTTCAGCATGAGAAGTGTGGTATATTTATGAATCTGCTTGGTAGGAGCTGTGTATTTTGTGCTTTATGGAATACTATCCATTCTTCTCAGGACAATCTCATTTTGATTCTCCTCTTGAGAATCTTGGCTATTGGTCTTCAAGCTTGGGACATGATTGACAGTCAGATGTTTCGTGAACCAAAACTAGATGTCCACGTTGTCACAAAATTTCTTCCAGCCCTCATGTCCCTGATTGTTGATGATCAAGTCAGAGCACTTAATTCAAGGCTTCCTCCAGATGAAAGAGAGTCTGCCATTACCATTATTGAACACTCTGGTAAGCCATATACAGAAGCAGTTTGAATATTCTCTCTCCTATGACCTATACGTTTATCCTTGCCTTGTGTGTTCTCATCTCACAAATCACATTCAGGTCCTGCACCAGATGCTTATGCTGCATATATTCAAGACAATGGAGTTTCAGCAGAGCTAGGCATGTACTACACTTTGCAAGTGGCCAAACAAAAAGACAGAGTAGGCCTGATGAATACTCTTGGTGCTTTATCTACTTCAGCTGCTGGAAGGGCATATGAAGATACCTTCCTGCACTCTTTGGTCTGTATGCACTGGGAGAATGAGTTTCATTACATTTAGGTGTTGGTATTCATTTGTGACATATGGATACTAGCAATTTTTTTTTTAGGTTGCTCTCTTGATCCCAATGGCAGAAGAATTTGCTGCAGAAGATTTCTGTACTGCAGTGTTTGATGAATTCTTTTGTACCAACCTGGGGAAGGAAAATGTATGCCGGCATCTCTTGAAATTGGTGTGGTATGTCTTCCCAAAGCTCCCAACTGGACGTAGAGAGACCATTTTGAAAGCTCTGCAACAGGGTACCCAAGTAAGTGCTTTTCTTCTCTGTTATTCTAAGGTTTAAGTTCATCTTGAGTGATTTTCACCCTCAAAGAGTGACTTTGATGTTTTTCAGCATAATGAGGTGCTTCAAGGACAATACAAGGCATTGGAAGAAAAAGTTGAAGCTCACTTCTCATCAGTTAGTGTTCACCCACCAATTGTTCCTATGGATTCTCATCTGAGAAGTGTTCCAACCCCTAGTGTTCACTTATGAGATACTCACTGTCCTGTAGCAGATATCCCTAGTCAGATGTCTCATGATCTGTGTCTCAGGTGGTGCCTTAGAGGTTTCTAGACTTCCTTTATTGCAGTTTTTTCAATTGCCAACATTCTATAGGCAAGAAAGAGCCTATACCTGTTTTTTAAACTGCATATGCAATCACCTAAACTGTGCTTTTTTTTTCAGAACTCAACTTTTTTTCCATTGTTAATGCCAATTTGACTAGGATTCAAGGCACTTGAGTGAAACACAATATCCTTCCTTAAAGAAAATTTAGATGCAACATCTGCACTGCATAACAAATGTAGATCTCAGTATCAGTTGGTATGTACAGCAGAAGGCTGTCTGACTAGTTACCTCCCATTGACCATTATGATCTTTGAGTAACCTTATGGTGGATTCAATTTTGACTTAAGATGCAAATTTGCAGTGGTACATTCTATTTTGATTTTTGACATGTAGAGTTGGAGTTGGAAAAAAAAAAGTATGCTGAGTTTTGGATATTGTATGCTGTGATTGAAAAAACATCCATATTGATATCATGGAAAAAGTACACTAGCATTAAAAAAAAAAATTGTGGTACAAAGGTAGGCCTGAGGAAGGATGTATTTTCACCTTTTGCCTCCTGTTATGCTCATGTACAGTGTATTTCACAGGTTTCAGTGAAGTCATTCATAGATACTTTGATGGGGATTGAGTTTCTCCTATCTAGGGCTTGGTGAAATTCATGGGACAAATCAACAATTCAAGTTCTAAGACTCTGTCAAAGAACATTTGTTTGTTGTTTGAGCATTTGTTCTTTACAAGTTGGGATTTTCCAAATTTTTCTTTTTTTTTTTTTGCTAAGGCAGCAGACTTGATGATAAGACTTGATGCCCAATTTTCTATGAATGATATTACTGTTATCTCTCATGAAGTGCACAGGGAGAGCTTCTCCATTTCTCAAATGATCTCAGTTGTTGCCTATCTGAATCAATATTTTTTTATGTATTGCTTGTTTGTGTGTTGTATTTACTGTATTTTTTTTAGTTTAGCATCTTTTCAATTGACTTGAACACCTATGGTGGTTATAAGAGTCATTGTGTCAAACTAAAAAAAATACTGATTGGTTTTGACTGTGATTATTTTTCTCACATGACTGAGAAGTTGGCCTAATCACAGGCTCCTTAGATAAGAATTGTAAGAATTTATCCCACTGAAATGGTCTCTGCTATTGTGCTATTGCAACCAGGACTTTCCCTTTGTCACTAGTGTTACATTTCTCTTCTTTTTTTTTTCTACTGATACAAAAGTAAATCAGGAGACCCAAAAACCCCTTTCCATTGACATGCATTTTGGCATGCAGGAATTATCTGTCATAAGAATTCCTTTGCAAGAAAGAGATGCTTCCCAATGCAGCGTTAATGGTGCACTTCTTTTCATTTCTCAAAGTTTCCAGTTCAGCCTTCGTAGAGGGTTAGAATGAGAATGAATTCCTCTCATTTTGGCAGATGCTGTATCCTTCAACTACGGATCATAAATCATTCTTGTTTCATATTGCATTCAGTTTTCCTTAAGATTCAAAGTCATTTTTGTGGTCAGGAAAGGTGTAATTCATTTTTTAACTCATCTTAGAAGTGTTTGTTATAAGAGAGATGCATGAAGAGTGAAACATCTGAAGTATGAGGGCAGTTCCAACCTGGGTGGATAAGGTTCATGACAGGGACAAGATTGAACAATGGTAAGCACTGAGGGTTTTGATTTTTTTGTATACTCTGGTTCTTCACTATTGTATGTCAAGCCTGTTGAGATCTGTACATCTATTAGTGCTGTTGTGATAGAACTGAATTGCAATGCAGTTGAATATGACTAATCAATACCAATAATCTTGGCCTCATTATTACTTACCTAGTCAAGCTGGATGAAAACAGTCCTATGACCATAATTCTATAAGGTATACCAAGAGAAGTGACCCATTCATTTATTTCTTTTTTGAATGAATCATCTGAGAACAATGTGTTCCTTATGAATATCTGAATGTAGAGTTGGTCAATTTGTTTTATGCATGGCTTGCATTGATTATTCACTTTGGAGTTACATGTTTTTTTTCCCATTCATTAACTCTCAAACTAAGAAAAAAAAAAATCTCCAGATCTTCAAAGTTTTGCAATACCTGTACATTTTCATGCATCCTTCAGATAGGAAGTCAGAAACATCTCCATGTCTGGAGAGAAGAAGCAACAGAATTATTTCTTTTAACCATGGATATGCAATTTGAAGCCAAGATTTCTTCTTTTGTGAAATTTCATGCTTGAAACCCAACTGAAAAAATTGCCCAATGCCTCCAATCTGAAGTATTGCAATTTGGAATGAATTGGATTTCCTATAAGATTTTTATCCTCAAGTTTGCAGAACAATGGGATAGCCACTAATGTGTCATTAGGAGGAATATAGATCTTCACTGTTGCAATTGTTGTACAAGGTGAAGAGCTGTCTTCCTAGATCCATTACAATGCTACTTCTCTGTCATCCCAAGAAGGTTTGGTAGAAAGAAAAATATGCTTGTGCTGATGTGAGGTAACTGTGGACCCCTTCTGACCCATTCTGATTTTCAAGTATGTATCTGATAAACTAATAGGATGTTAATGAATCCTGAGACAATTTATATATATTACTCACCTTTCTACTTTCAGAAACAAGGAATGCATTAATCATTTGCAGACCTAGGTTTCATGATGAGTAAAACTATTGTTCTTTTTCTTTTTTTGCATGCAATAGATTCATTCTGACTTTCACATTTGTACTAGCACTTGTTTATCTAAGGAGCTTGACTCCTCTTACATCCTCTTTGCAGCATATATGATCTCTGCTTCAAACCAGATGGAACTCAGCTTATAGTTGCTGCAGGAAACAGGGTATTGGTGTATGATGCCAGTGATGGCTCTCTTCTTCAGCCCCTTAAAGGTTTGTGATATGGGAAATAATTCTCATTGTAATTGTTGATGTCATTGCCTAAGTCTCCCATAATTTCAATGCCAATTCTTTCAGGACACAAGGATACTGTTGTTTGTGTCAGCTATGCCAAGGATGGAAAACGGTTTGCATCTGGTAGTTTGGATAAACATGTGATAATCTGGACATCCAAGTTGGAAGGGATACTCAAGTATTCGTAAGTCCATGAACAGATTGGATCACGTTGGAAGATGTAGTAAGAGGTTTAGTTCATATTGGACATTTTCTTCCACAGGCACAATGATGCACTTCAATGTCTGGCATACAACCCAATTTCTCATCAGTTGGCATCCTGTGCATTGAGTGACTTTGGGCTCTGGTCCCCTGAGCAGAAGAATGTCAGTAAAACAAAAGTTAATAGTCGAATCAATGCCTGTGCATGGACTAATGATGGTCAGTTTCTTGCACTTGGTCATGGAAATGGAGTTGTGTCCATACGAAACAAGGTACAGAATTCAGTCTTCCATCCTTTGTTTCGACTTCCAAGACAATTGAAGCATATTTTAAAACTAAGAAAGTTCTCCCTAGTCTGGTGAGGAGAAAGTACGAATTGAGAGACCTGGAGGGTCAATGAGTGCTGTGTGGTGTCTTGAATGGAATCCCTCCAAGTGCGTTTTCATTTCTTGCTTCTCTTCCTGAAGTACCATCCATTATTAAATGAACCACAAAATAAAGGTTTTTTTTATTTTAGACTATTGGGCTACCACAGATTTTGATGTGACAGATTTCATCATTTGAAAAGTTTCTTTGATGCAGAACACAAAAATCTATTGCACTTTTTTCAATTATAAAATTCATTATTTTCCTAGGTAAGAGGGGAAAACTACCATTCAAAATTGAAAAATTTTCACGTTTTTCATGTTTGTAGCTAGAAAAATATTTTAGCATTGCCTGCTATCCACCACAGGAAGGCAAGCTTGAATGGAGTGTAAAACTAAAAAAAAATTTAAATTATTATTATGAATCATGTTGCAGTTCTATTCAGAGTCAGAATGTTTGAAAAACCATAAATTTATCCATTTAGTGACCTAAGTTCTGTTAGGTACCAATCATGTCTGAGATACCTTAGGTACTGTCCCATAGCTCTAACTTGCATCACAGAGGCCTGGGTGTCCACCTCTGGCACTGATATCCCCTTTCCAACTGGGTTCACAATTTTCCTTCTTTATGGCATTGTCAGGAGAAGGAAAATATTAGCAACATTAGGAACATTAGTTCCATGTCAGGCTAATGACATGGAACACAAGTTACATGTCAGGTGTCTTCCCACTACTGCTTCCCCACCCCACCATGGAGGCCTCCTCCATGGTGGGGGATTGATTCTATAGGGTATGCCAAAAAAAATGAACAGTTTTCAACTATACACTACACTTCACCCACTGCACATATTTTAATACAATTTGCAGCATTTGAAAGAGGAATGAAAAAGTTTTAAAATGAGGTATTTACCTTTCAAATATCTTCAGCAGTTTCAGAAATTTGGGAGCTCATATGAACAGCAAACAAAAACAATTACTGTGCTCTCAGAGGGAGATGGCATGTGACCTTCAGTCATGAAGGCTGCCACCTGTCCATCCCTGTCTGGTCCTGTGGCAATGTATTTTTTGGCTGGTGTTTATATGAGCTCCCAAATTTCTGAATATTTGAAATGTAAATACACCATTGTAAAGCTTATTCATTCCTCTTTCAAATGCCACAAACCACATTAAAATATATGCTGTGAGTGCAGTATCACTATCATTGAAAACTGTCCAGTTTTTTTTTGGCCCACCCTGTACTTGATAAGACCTTTTTACTGATGTGTGTGTAATAGGGATTTCAGCCTTATTATCTTTGAATTGGTTATTATCATTTTGAATCTTTTGGAGCTTATAACAAGGAAATTGAATGAGGTACTCTATAAGTTGTTTTATATAGTTGAGCTTAGTGAGTTGAGATCTAATGATGCCATTATCAAAAGAGCCAAGAAATAGTACTCTCCTTCCTTGTGTAAATGAACAGATGTTGATGAAGTGCAACAATATTTAGTTCTCGTGTGCATAGAAAAAATGTTTTGACAATATGATTTCACATGAAAAATACATGTAGGGAGGAGCAATATGACATCCTGTGTGTTGGAGATTGGAGTCAGAACATGTCATTCTACAGCCTGAATGGGAAACTGGCAAGTTGCCTCCACAGAGTCCATGATAGGATTATGCTTCTTTTTAGCTGTAGTTAATAAATCTATTCATTGCATGCATGGCAGATTGGAAAGGAACGTCCTATAGGATTTGATCCGTGCTGCTTGAGCTTCTTCCCGCATGGTGAATATATCCTTGTTGGAGGATCAAATAAAGGCTGCCTCTTGTATACAAAGGAAGGAATCAAGCTGGGAGCAATTGGTGAACAACAATCATGGGTCTGGTGTGCAAAAGCAAAGCCAGATTCTAATTTTGTTGTGAGTCTTCTCCATTATTCCTTGGTTGATTCTAATGGAATCAACTGTGCTGGCTCATTGTCTCAGAGCATTTCATCTTGGCCTAATGACTAGCAGACAACATATCTGCCTCTATTCTTTGTCAGAGTGATTGACAAAAGTAATAATTGTCTGCTTGCCATGGAATCTGAGTGGGTAATAGAGACTTGCACAGTTTGTTCAATCTGTTTGTTCATCACAGAAAACTGGTATGCAATGATGAATTCAAAAAGGAAATGTGAAAAAAAAGAGTAATGCTGCTAATTAGAGATGCAACAATATTGAATTTTGGCTGATATCCAATATACAGATATTTCTGATATCGGAAAAGAACCAATACCGATATCTATATCTACATTCATACATTCAGGGTGGATTTTTGAACAGAGAACTATCTGATAATGCTGCTTTGTTTCCAGGAAATATCATGTATTTTCCCCAGAATAAAGCTGCATTATCAGATACTTCTCTGTTCAAAAATCCACCCTCAGGCATTAACCCATCCATTGTTAAGTTTTATTTGGGACCAGGTCTGATGGGGAAAGCTTGAGGTGCACTTCATGCTGAAGCAAGGCTCTTCAATGTGGATTTTAAAATATTACATTGGATTTGCATCAGGCATTTTCTTTCCTATGTACCATCATAGAACTTGCAAGAAGGTGGAACAGCAATTACTTCTTTATTTTTTCAAAGTAGCACTCAGTTAAGGAAATGTCAAGAATGTCTAACTCCTTCTAACCTCTAATGGACACTCAGAGGGACTTGACTGACAGATGACTGACAGTTAATCATCAGATAATTTGCCATGCAGATGAAATGTGAACATAACTGCTTTTCAAGAAAATGTATAAGGCAATTAATCATATTTATATTACAGAAGTATTTTATCTACAAAAACATTTATGTTATACATGATGGTATAACTATTTAAATTTAAATTATGACGTTATAAATATTTTAAATAAATTAGGGCTGCATCGACGTATTGACAACCACAGGGATTGGCCTCTGGTGTTGCACCATTGACGCCATGGCCATTTGGAAGCTCTCGATGCCGAAGCCTGAAGGAGGGCAAAATGAAAAAGAAAACTACTTGAGTGCCTGAACGCAGCTTGGCGCCGGCCCTCCTGTCTCGCTGAAAGCCTCCCCTGCCGTCCTCTCCCAGAAAAAAATATCGATCGGAATTATACAGGGAGTCCTTGATTTTAACTTACGTCGTTTCGATATAACGTCACTAACATATATCTGATTGGAAAGTAAGTTCTCGGAATTTCATGAACAATTATTACAAACCAGTTTATTTAAAAGCAAAATCATCTCAATCATGAATGTAATCACCATTGGCCTCTATCACTTCACGCCAACGTTTATGCAAACTATGGATGCCATTCCAATAGAACTCTGGCGGCTGCGCTACGAAAAAGTTGGCCAAATCGGTTTTCAGGTCGTCTTGGTTGGCGTACTGCTTTCCACCCATGTGACGGTCCAGGGCAACGAAAAGGTGATAATCGGACGGGGCAAGGTCGGGGCTGTAGGGCGGATGCGGCAGCACCTCCCAGCACAGGTCCAGTAACTTTAGATGAGTCTGTCTAGCGGTGTGCGGCCGGGCATCGTCGTGGAGGAGGATGGTTCTCTGTCTTTCTGGGCGTGTTTCAGCCAGTTTCTGCTGCAGCCGATCGAGTTGCTGGCAGTAGTAGGCAGCAGTGATGGTGGTGTTTTGCGGCAACAGCTCAAACATGATGATGCCTTTCGAATCCCAGAAGACCGAGAGCATAATCTTTTTGGGGTGCAACTCCTGACGGGGTTCTCTTTCGGCCGATGCTCCGGCGTCCACCCACTGACGTTTTCGTCGAATGTTGGCATAGAAGGTCCACTTTTCGTCGCCTGTCACCACTGAGTCTAGCCAATCCGTTCGGCGCGAACGTGACAGAAGGGAGATGGCCATGTCTACTCGTCGCTGGCGGTCCCGATCATCCAGCTTGTGGGGTACCCAGCACCCCAACTTTGCCTTCTTGCCAAGCTCAGCCAGATGATGAAGGATAGTTGTATGGGAGACACCCAGCAAGTCCGCAAGCTCTCGCGATGTTTGCCGGTTGTTGGCCTCCAGTGCCTCCTGCAAGGCAGAGTTATCAAACTCCGAAGGACGACCGGTGCGTGGCTGGTCTTCCAGGCTTTCATTTCCTTTCTGGAAGCGACTGTACCAATCATAGGCAGTGCTCTTGGACACAGTGTCCGGGCCAAACGCGGTATTGATGTCAGCGATGGAATTGGCTGCCTTCTTCTCGATTCGGAAGTCATAAAGAAGAAGCAGGCGAACTTGCTCCTTAGTAAGAGGGTAGGGCTGGTTCATGGCTGGAGAGCACCAGGGCTGTAATAATATACGGTTGTATGCCGAAGGACACGACCTACTTATAAACACACGCAGAACATTCTAGCATGCTCTGGAAAAAAATTGTACTGGATATTCAAGAAATTCCGAGAACTTTCTTTCCAATCAGATACCCCATATACGTTGCGTCGTTCCGATAAAACGTAAATCGAGGACTTACTATATTTCAGCATGTGGCCATCGGCACAGTCCTAACATGAATATAAAGATGATAAAATTCTTGAAAACCGCTGGTTCCAAATGGAACCTGTGGGCACGAAAGAGTTGAAATCAGACTATTGTCTTGTGATTTTTGTACCGAAGTTTTGGGATCCATCTAGGCCTACTTTCGCGCAAACACGAGCGATGTCTATTTTCGCAGAAAGCACAGAGTAGGCTATGATGTGGCATTATGACGCTTCCCATCCCTCTGTTGGGTGACTGGGTAATGAGCTTATGTCCCTTGACAGGGTAGCCTGGGCTCGAACCTAGGCAAGACAAGTGTAAATTTCCTAGATCAAGCGCCAACGCCAGCGTGCTTGGGAAGGAAGTACCCGAGCACGGAGCGCTCCCATCTCTAGATGTGGGACGTTGAGGAACCGCAGCAGTGAAGGTCGAATCCAGGGGGCTTATCCCCAGATTATTATGGCGGTTAAACCAAACGCGAAATAATTTTAGACCTCCATCGCTGTCGATTGTGCCTACTTCAAGTGCTTGCAACAGGTCACAAGTTATCAGTGGGAGACACTGACTGTCAAATAGGGGTGAAGCTTTAGTGCCTTGCGGCCACTCCCAATCCAAAGGAGGAAAATTCTTACATTTTCAACAGCCTAATGCTTCTTTTTTCAATGAAAACATGTAATTTAGGCATTTTCAACCCTCTGCAGTTTTTCACTTGAGTTGGACTGGCATGCAGTTTTTCACTTGAGTCGGACTGGCATACTTCAGGTGCAATTTCAATATCGGTTATTGGCAGGTCATATATCGTTTTGGGCCGATATATCAGATGCACCCAATATCGGCCGATTCCGATAACCGATAAAATATTGTTGCATCTCTACTGTTAATTCCATGAATAGAAAATACTTTGATTTGCTACTTGTTCTGATCCTATTCATCCCAATGCCAGCAATAAGAGCAGGCTCCAAGATTTCAAAATTTCTATCTCCTCAGTTTCATATGTACCAACCAAAGGCATTGTAATTTCAGTGCAATGTTCTCTTTCTATCAAGTGATTGTGTCCCCTCTTGAGTTTTTTTTATACTTCTACTATAAAGTTTGCCCCATATGATGCATTGTTAGAAATGACAAGAATATATATTGAAAATTTTCATATGGGTTCAAGCCTACCAGCACTTTCTCATATAGTTGCTCAAATCCATGATCTAGAACATATTTCTGAACACAAGCATAAGGTCTTTATGGGCAACAAGAAACAGGTCTTATAATTTGCACATAATATATAAAGGGTGTCCCAGGGAAAATGAGACCATTTAAATATTTATATATTTTTTGAGTGAGTTGACAGATTCTAATATAACTTCTTTCTCACAAATTCCTGCTTACCCTCTTCCATTTTAAATAATTTTTAAATCACTCAAAGGCTATGTCTTTGTATGTTCAGAAAATCAGTGCACACACTAAAGTATTTGGGCTTAATGAATGTCTTGGCAATTTTTAGAATTTGAAAAATTTTCTTAAACTTGTACCCATTAATGGTTGCCTCTAGCATGACTCATGAATATGAGTGAAAGGCAATTACTGCTCTACCATCCTCTGGTTGCACAGACAGTGGAGCCTTGTGAAAGGGAATTGCAACAGATGAATTTAGGAACATTCCCAAGAATGTGTGCAGATAATCATAAGTGATAGAGCTGGAGAAGGGGAAAGGGGAGGGGGGGAAGTTAAATGAGAGGAAGTGGCTCTGAAAGTTCTTATGGAACACATGGAGATAGTGCAATATCTCAATATATATTACTGCCTTGGAACTATCTCTGAAATATTATCAAACTGTGTTTGTTATACCTAGCCTTGAGATGTGTGACATGAGAGACTTCTTTATTTTCTGCTTCATTTCACGCTATTGCTAGGCCATTGGATGTCAGGATGGAACCATCGCATACTATCAACTTGTGTTCAGTACTGTCCATGGTCTTTACAAGGAGAGATATGCCTACAGGTGAGTTCTGCTGTTTTGTGTCATTTTCTATACCAGCTACCTCCTTCCTAGCCTCTTGCCATGGAATTGGAGGCACTTAAAAATGAGATGAAGTATGTGCTGACAAGTGTGACACTCTTATGATGATGACTCATCTACAGGGAGAATATGACAGATGTGATCATTCAGCATCTCCTGTCAAATCAGAAGGTGCGTATCAAGTGTCGAGACATGGTGAAGAAGATAGCCATCTACAAGAAACGCTTGGCTGTACAGCTGTCAGAGCGTGTTGTCATATATGAGCAATATGAAGATGATCTTGATGAAATGCATTACAGAGTGAAAGAGAAGATAAACCAGAAATTGGAATGCAACCTCCTTGTTATCTGTAACAACCATATCATCTTATGCCAGGTAATTGAGAATTCCAGCAAGAAGAAACTATTCCAGATGGAAATTATATACACTATTATTTTGCATCTTCTGTATTATTTTCCATTTTTGGCTATGAGCAGGAGAGACGACTGCAATGCCTATTGCTGTCTGGAGCCAAAGAGCGAGAATGGCAGTTGGACTCTCCCATCAGGTACATCAAAGTCATTGGAGGTCCTCCAGGGAAAGAAGGTCTCTTGCTGGGCCTCAAAAGTGGACAGGTCAGCAGATTATGCCATCTCTGTAAGATATAACCTGTTAAGGACTATGTCTGTACATCAGGGGTGTATACTGGCAGCCCATTTTGTCCAGCTCACGAAGTCCTCTTCAACAGTTTGTTAAGTACTGCTAATTTCAGCCTATTTGCATGAAAGATTTGGTGTTCAATTTTTATTGTGGCCCATAATCACCCCTGCTGTATGTGAACAGCTTTAAACTTTTGAGTGTTATTTTCTCTGTATCATCAAGGATTGATACAGCTTGTTGTATTTTGGGGGTTGTTGGCACTTGATCACATAACTTATGTCCATGGACCTGTCTGTGATCACAGATTCCAACTAACCTTCCACAGAAAGAGCTGTAATGTACCCCTAAAAATAACTCCATCTTCAACAGGTTAAAAGCAATCTGAGGCATGCTGAAGTTTATGGATTCATGAATGATGTGCTTTATTCAGGTGCTGAAGATTTTCGTGGACAACCAATTTCCTGTTCCTCTACTCAAGGCACCCTCATCTGTGCGTTGTTTGGACCTGAGCATGTCACGAAAAAAACTGGCCCTGGTAGATGATAATAACAAGTGTCTTGTGTATAACATTGATACCAAAGAACTGCTTTTTCAGGTAGGTGACAGAGATCTGAATCAGAATGTAGCATGTTATCCAATGAGTATCATAGCTTTGTGACAAAAATTTACTTTGCAGGAGCCATCTGCAAACAGTGTTGCTTGGAATTCTCAATGTGAAGATCTCCTTTGTTTCTCAGGAAATAATCAACTGACTATCAAAGCATGTGATTACCCTGGACATACACAGAAGCTGAATGTAAGTATGGCATGCTCTTAGTATATATTTCTCCATCTAAAATGTTAGATCTACTCCTGAGTGCAAACAGCAATGCAGTGTGATTGCTGCACAGATTGAATTGGGGTTGCATTTGTGATGGTTACAGGCTGCCTTCAGCTTTTACCATATTTTCCCTTCCAAGCACATTCTTTGGTGCTGCCAATAGTTTTGATCTTTTGCTGAAGGTCTTACTTGGAGGGACTTTCTTTTATATGGGGTGTTGGAAAAGTGTCTCTCTGAATTGCAAAAATGGTTTCCAGCGCATCCCTGATTGTTGAGTACTACCATTGCAGTGCAAATTTTACATCATCTCCCATCAACTCCCCCCAACCTAGCATCTGGTTCAGCAACTAGGTTTTACTGCATTGACAATCAGCTGACACCTAACCTGCACATCAATAACCATGCCTTAATTGTCATCCACTGTACCTTGTACCTCCCATATCCCTACAGGTGTTGTGCTCTGTGTGCAATAAAATGATTTGTATGTGTATGGTCAGATGCGAAGGCAGCTGCTTGGATAACTTCAGAGATTGGGGTTGTAACACCCTCTATATGCTGCAATTAATGATTCATCTCTGCAAGTAACTGAACCACCTAACCTCCAATCTCTAATAATATATTAATCTCTAATAGTATAATTTGACATTTCATGGGTCACTTTTCATGTTTAAACATGTTTCTAGTCAAACATACATTGTTAGAACTTTAGTTTTTTTTATTGTGTAGGGGTTTGTTGTGGGATTCGCAGGATCTCGAATCTTCTGCCTTCATGTTTACAACATGGAGACCATGGAGATTCCGCTTTCTGCTGCTTTGTATCAATTCATTGAAAGGAAGCATTTTGAGTAAGTACAGACTTTGAGCCACTTTCTTTGTAAGTCTTCCAGTGGGAATCTACTCCAATCTTCTGAATCATTGCAGGAAGGCATATGAAGTAGCTTGTCTTGGCATCACTGAGGGAGATTGGCATACTTTGGCTCATGCAGCACTTGAAGGCTTGCATATTCCCATTGCAAAGAAGAGCTTCACTCACATTAGAGACCTCATCTATCTTGATCTCATCTCTTCAATTGAGGTTCCTGATGCTGTTGATGGACAGTACTGTATATGTGGCATTCGTTGAGGTTACCCATGTACTAATGAATGTATTTTCTCTTGCAGAATGAGTATAGACCTACATCAGGGAAGAGAGGTGAAACACCTTTGAAGGGAAGTGACACCTTTCTAGCTCAAGTATTAGCCTATAAAGGCAAATTTGCTGATGCAGCAAAGCTTTTCAAAAAAGCTAGTCAGGAGCAGAAAGCTTTGGAGATGTACACAGACCTTCGAATGTTCGACTTGGCTCAAGTTAGTGTGATTCCCTTCATTGTATTTTGTTAACCTTAGATTTTCTACAGTAATTATTCATCTTTGCTTGGTTTTCTGTTTCAGGAATATGTTGGTTCTGGTGAAGGAATTGATCAGAGGCAGTTGATCAAGAAGAAAGCAGAGTGGGCCAAGAATATAAATGAACCCAGGGCTGCTGCTGAGATGTATCTGAGTGCAGGAGAGACTCTCAAAGCCATTGAAATCATAGGAGAGCATGGCTGGGTGGACATGTATGTTTTTCTTATTCATTACTGTGCACCCAGAAGAGAACAGGGAGTATGTACAGCAATAGATTTCTGATCCGTTTCAGGCTAGTGGAAGTTGGACGAAAGCTGGACAAAGCTGACAGTGAGGGCATGAAGGCTTGTGCTGGTCACCTTCAAAGATTGGGTAGCTCAATTATTTTCATCAAAGACATTATTTCTTGGATTAAAATATGTTCTGTTTTGTTCACCTGACTTCTTTCTGATGATTTATTGAATTTACCTGTTGGGTGTACTGGAAAGAAGCACAGATTCCTGCTGGTCCATGATTGCAGGGTCCTGGTACAACAGAATTTTGTATTGGCTTAGTTAAAACAAACATTCTGTCCCAGAATCCAAGAATAATAAATATATGTCTTTCTAGAGTATTCTGGAATTCTTGAAAAAAAAATTTTCTCACAGTTCATTGGAAGAAATTTATAAACAGTGTGAGACATATGTTACATTTATAGGGCAGCTCTTATGAGGCAGGAAAGTAGACCTACTCAAGCATCTGGTTGGTCAGTGAACCAAACTATTCCAGCCCAGAACCAAATTGCCACATAATCTGTGTTGTTCATGACCCATTCTAGTCCATATGGAATAATGCTTTGTAAGAGGCTCACCCTATTTGGATTTCAACATTTTTATGCTGAGCAAGAATGACTTCCTATTACAGGCCAATTGACGTATGCCAGTGACCTGTACCAACGACTTGGGGACACAAAATCTGTTGTCATGCTCTATGTGGAAGCTGGGGACTGGGAGGAAGCCTTTGTCTTGGCTGAGAAGCATCCAGAATTTCGGCAGGAGGTCTATATGCCTTATGCCAAGTGGTTGGCTGAGAGTGACCGATTTGTGGAAGCACAGCAAGGTGAAAATATATTCTTGGTTTTTACAAGAAGCTGTTCTTGTAAGAGCTGACTTAGTCTTACTGATTTGCTTTTTATTGTGTTCCTTCAGCATTTCACAAGGCTGGGCGACCAGATGAAGCATTTCGTGTCCTTGAACAACTCACCCATAATGCAGTCAATGAGAACAGGTTCTGTGATGCTGGGTACTATTACTGGGTACTTTCAATGCAGTGCTTGGATCTTGCCAAGGATGAGTGAGTGCTTTTTTTTATATCATGCATGTTAAAAAAAATATAGGATACATAGAAAAACTGCTAGAGGAATCATGATTTGGAATGACTATGTACATTTTTAATATCACCTGAAACTTTTACATGAGAATGTCAATAGAACTGTTTGCCAGTTGATGGCACTTGGCATCAGCTGGCACTTGGCTTGAAGCTGCATGTAGCAAGAAGTAATAACCAAGAGGATTCCCCAGATGCAAAAAAAAGTATTCTCCTCTGCTCATGTGCATCAGAGGTCCAACAATATCAAACCAAGGTTTTTCAGGTTTATTTCTTTAGGATCTTGTTATGATGGACTTCTAGGATATCTTGGTAGTGTGGTTTTTCTGAGAAACATTGCTTTACATACATTTATGCAGTATGCAAGCCAACTTTAGTTTCATGAATGTACCTGAAGGTCATGCACATATGGGCCAATGTAAGAATTACTACTTTGTCATGCCTTCATTTGGAAAATCATATAATTGTGTTTTGCAAATGAGATCTATTAAACATTTTCTTGAGATCCCAAAATCTGCAAGCAACCATTTCATATGAAGTATCCTGTTCAGAGTGACATGAAGTTTCTAATTCTTTTTCTCTTCCCATAAGGTCCTGTATTTAAAAAAGGGACACATAAAAGAATAAGGTCTGGCAGACTGAGATGAATAAAGACTGTTTATATTTAAAAGTTTGAATATGAAGAAAGAACAGAGAAGTAACTGAATGTCTTGGCAAAAATAGAGGATATAGGGGTTCAGTTCCCACTGTTTTTTGTTTTCATTTGCCAAAGTTTTTATGGTATTTTTTTTTCTTTGCATGAAGTACACTATTGCTGAAACTCATTTGAGATGGATTTTCTATCCTTTTAAGCATGTTTCATGAAGTGAAGGAATGGACTTAATCTTACAGAGCCAATGACTGCATTCAAATAATTATGAACCTGTTAGGCTCCTGTTTGGGGGGATGCAGAAGAAAATAAATTCTCTTCACTGTGGGAATATCCTTGAGGAATCTCTCTCTTGGCTGCTATTTCTAGCTGCAAGCAGTTTACTTCCAATTGGTAGTTGCATCAGTTGGTAATCAAATTCATTTATGTTTTAATGTAAAATGTTAAGGTATTATTTTCAATTTTCACAAAGAGTGAAATTTACAGTTTTCCTTGTCACTCCCCATTGGTTCCACCATTAGTTGACTTTGCTTTGCAGCACTGGGAATCAGGAAAGCCTGTTGCAGCAGTTTGCTGAGCACCAAAAGAAGGCTGACATGTACTATACTTACCATGTCATTCAGAGATACACAGTGAGAACTCTTGGTTTTCCAGCAATTTCAAATAGCAAAGAGGACACTATCCATGGAAGGCATTGCCAGAATGTCTATGATTCCTTTATGCTTGCAGGATGAACCATTCACCTCCTTCACTTCAGAGCAATTGTTCAACATAGCTAGATTTCTTGTCCATGAACTTCTTCACATGCAACCTAAAGGAATCTCAAAGTTTGCTGCACTTTATGCTTTGGCAAGGCAAGCCAGAACCTTGGGAGCATTTAAGACAGCTCGGTATGCTCTGGACAAACTTCAGGGAGTGCTAATTCCTCGCAGTTATCAAGTAAGGCAAAGTTTGACTAAAATTAGACCCTCCCCTCCTCCTGCAAGTTAATCCTGTATGAACTCTTCGCAGGAAGCAGTTGACCTTGCCTCATTGGCCATCAGGTGCAAGCCATATCAAGACAATGAAGACCTACTGCCTCTTTGTTACCGTTGTTCCACTACAAATCCACTTATCAACATCAGGGGGAACTGTTGTGTGAATTGTGCCCAGCCATTCCTACATTCCTTTTCTCATTTTGGTAAGGAATTTAGAAAATCCAATCTTTTCTTAAAGCAAGATTGATAACAATATGGAATTCTTCATTCACAGAAGTTTTGCCACTGGTGGAATTTGTGCTGGAAGATGGGATAACTGATGAGGAAGCTCAACGTCTCATTGAAGCTGCTCCTAATTCTTCTTCTTCTCGAGAGAATTGGCGTGAAAGTAAGAGTGAGGGCACACAGATGCTACGCCTTGATGAACCAGAAATAGAGATGCCTGCATCAGAGGATCCTTTCACTGCCCGTCTCCTGGCTTTCGAGGTCAGTCTCAATGAACATATTGTATTGAGTCAAAGACTTGTGATGGGGCCTTCCATTGGAGCCTTAGGGCCAACTTCACCCTGAGAGCCTTAACTGTTTAGTATTATCAAGCAATTTCCAATTGGTCACTAATATTGTGATGAATGAGGATTACATCCCCAAAATCTATTGTGCTCACTAGTACTGTAGATATTTTTGAATTGCCTTGAAAAATGCAGGAAAGCTTTTGACCATATGGAGGATCTCACATGTTCATATTCTGAACCAATCATGGAAATGCTAACAAGCCAATCAAAGGTGCTGTGCCCTGATCTTTGATCTGACATTTTAAAGTGAAATTTTCCACTGCTTTGTTTACTATAATTCATTCATCTGCTCTCCAAACCATGCAGCAGAGAAGTTGACAGGGCAGTGGAATTTCTCACATTCATGTTTCAGAATTGATTCAGAAGTCAAAGGATATCAAAATAAACAGATTTGATGAGCATTTTTCTCTGATTGCCCATATCTCTCTCACTTCCTCAATTAAATTCTGATATTATAGGTTTTCATAGTAATTCAAATGTATCATATTCATCATAAGTATTGAAGGCTGCAATAGTGGTAAATTAACCCAATGCAGATAAGTCTGTGATGCAGTACCACCACCATGCCCTGAAGGCATTATTTTCAAATGGTGGTGTCCTGGCCCACAAGGACCTTGATGAATATTTCATTTGGCCCATATCAATACCTTGCTAATTAATTGGATACCTTTTACTGGTGAACTAAGTCCTTTTAATTTTAGGAGGGAGGAGGGGAGTATAACCCAGTGGTTGTCAATCGAGCCACACTTAGAAGCATGGAACCTCATGATGTCCTCATCTGCTGCTGGCCAACTCCTCTCAAGTATCACTATTACCGAAACCTCATACCTGACATGTCCATCACCAAATGTGACTCTTGCAACAAGGTGAGATGATCATCAACCAAGCATCTGGCATCCACCAGGGATAGATAACTAGATTTTTACCTCTCTGTTTCGTAGTTCTACCTGACAGAAGACTGGGAATTGAGCGTTTTGCAGGATGGTCACTGCCCCTTCTGCAGAAAGGCACATTCCACTGGGAACAATGAACAGGCAGAATGAGCTGATGCACTTTTCTCATAATACCCAAAGCCTCTGATCTCACCAGAAAGTGCAAGTACAAGGCCATCCCATCTACTTCATACCGTCCAGCTGTCTGTGATTGAATGTATTTTTATGCACTATTTTCCTCCTCCATTGAGCTATATAGCCCAGGACATGAATGTGATAGGGTGTTATCCTTTTGCCATGCTATGCCATTATAATTTAACTTTATTTGCCTTATATGTGACATGTCATTAGATTTCTGTCCATCTGTTGGTAAAGTTTATTTCATGCATCCAAGGACTGTTTCAGTCTTGCTAGTCTAAGATTCCATTGTTTTTGCAACACAGGGACATTTGACACATCATTAGCAAAAAGGCATCAAGATTAGATCTTTGTGTAGGATAAATTGCTCACTAATTGTGAATTGGGAAATTGTAAATTATGGGATGCAGTCATTGCATCTGAGGGGTGTTAACATTTAGTCTACAAATTCTTGGTGATTTCTCCCATGATTTTGCATGCCTTCTTTTACCTGTGGTTTTACATATATGTACACACCTGTTTCTTGGCATCAGGGCAATTTCTGATGAGATTAGTATTTTTTTTGCTAAGTCTACATTCACTGGCCACAAAGACATTGATACAATGGAGTGAAACAATCTCTATGTTTTACCCAAGCACATAGCAGTTTGTCAAGAAACTGATTAGAATCTCAAGGGCATTAAGTGATTCTTTGCAGAATAAACTGACCAAATGATCTAATGTTAAGGTGGGCAGGAATCCCACTAATTTCCATAATCATTTAAGTGTTCATTCATATGATTTGGAAGAGAAACTCTTCATGGTATGTTGAAAAATCTAATAAAGTTTCAAAAGGCATAGGGTGTGGTGAGTATCCAAGCTGAAAGCCTGAGGAATGGAGGAAGAAGTTCACTACATTGATAAGGAAAATTGCATTATCATCCCTCTAGCCACTTCACCATTGTGCCATTCTTTTGTGTTCAACTGTGGAGTCATGCTGAGCCAATGTGTCCAGTAGGCAATAATGCCAACTTATTGAAGCATTTCATGTGTTATTTATTGGGATGCTTGCATCAGCCTGATGTATTTGAAAAGTTTTTTGTTTTCTGTTTTATCTTTCATCCTATGACTTAAAAATTTTCTCCAATTTTTATGCATACAATTAAAAATTTTCACTCCACATCTCATTAATGAATTTTTTCTAGATGTTTGTCTTGAGAAATTAGTAGCACCCCACCTCCCATTACATTAAAGCATTTGGCTAGTTTTCTCTATAAACATCCCATGCCTTTGAAACTCATTAATATCATGACACACCACTGAGTTCATGTACCAAATTTCATTGAAATTACTCAACTCCTTTGTGTTCCAGTTTTAATTACCGCAAGTGTCATATTTCATGATTGCCAGTCTGTTTTCCCATATTGAAAAACCAACATGCTTCCTAGCATTGAACTTGGATGTTTGAATGCTAAGAATGTACTACATGTACAAAGTGTTCCAAAATAAAAATAAGCCTTGGTGGTGTGTTAGGAGATAGTTCACTCTAGGAGATGCATAATTGAGCCTTTCAAATTTTCCACTCAGTCCACAGGAGATTCATATTTACATTTCTGCTAACAGAACATTAACATATCACTGTTATCATACATACGATCATATCTGTAGAGCATGATATCAGAAAGATATTGCATCTCCCAATATGATCATGTTGATGCTGCATCACTGTTGGCATAATGTGAATACAAAGTCTAGCAGCTTGAAGGCATTCCTGAAGTTGTGATGGTAGAGTATCAGAAAATGTCACATAAGCACAAGTCCTGTTCACTGGCAGGGAGTGGAAGAGACTTTTATCACTAAATACACTTGCCTATGCCTACAAGGAGTTGAAGAAATTCATTTGCAAAATGTACTTGACCTTTGTGAATGTGCTAACATTTTCAAATTGACTTCTTTGTACCATTCTAAAAAAAAAACTTATAGCAGTGGAGCGGTAGCGGACAGGACGATCCCTTTCCTTTTCTTGATCACCTTATCAAAACTCCTAAATGAGTTGTCATGTATTATATCCTAAATCAAGGGAGCCTAAGAGACTTTCCAACCTTAACAGGTTGACCGCCACGAGGCACACTGGTACGCCTCACTGAATGGGCTGCATAGAATACCTCAACAGCAACCAATCTGCATACTTAACTCCCCCCTTGGCTGAACTGAGAATACGAAGATACTCCTTGCATACCATCCCATTTCTCTGTCACCTGACAAAAAAATGCCAGGAAACTGTCAATATTGCAGACATTGCTATATGGTGCCTCCAGAGAGATTTGCCTTGAGGTGGATGCAATTAACCCTCAACTGCTGAAGTGAATTTTTTCAGCAGGTAGTATGAGGTGCTATGAAACTCTCAATAGATGGCAGAATAATTCATTTAAAGTCTTATATTAATTGCATACATGCAGTGGTAGCTATAACAAACATTGAATTCAAAACATGTATGCACATTAAGTGAAGGCATTTCTTTTGCCATCACATTAACATGTCAGTGAGAAGGGTTAATTAATTATGACTCACAGGAAACAGACAGACAAAAAAAAACACCTCATAAACTAATTCATTTGTATCAGCAATCTTAAAACGATCTGAACAAAACCCAGTCCACTTGGGAATGTTGGATGTATCATCATAAACTGAGCTAATTCAGGAGAAGTTTTAAGGTGGGGGGGCCAAGTGACTTGCCTTAAGATGAGTTCATCTAACTCAACATGAAATTTAGTAATTTGGTGTCATAAGCATTTGAACTTCCATATAATCAAGAAAACATGTTTCAGAGTTCCCACTGACTCCAAAATAAAGTAAACTTCTTTGAATGATTTTTATGAACATGTAAGAGATAAAGATATTAATAATAAACAAGTTTTGAATGGCATGTTTGATGCTTTCCTTTTTCGTTCTGCAGTTCTCAAATATAAGCAGCTCAAAAGGGGGCTCTTTCTTTGATATCTCCTCTTGATGAAATTAAGAAAAGAACATCCTCCAGGAGATATAAACATGTTCATACATATTAAAAGTGGCATGTGCTCCTTGCTGCATAAGGTTTGTTGAATAATATGGGAGCCAGGGTCAACACCTATGGACTGGCAAACTGGGGTGTTCCTTATTTCAAAGGAGAATTTGAGGGATTTCTGAGCAATCTCTTATATTGGGTTGGCAACCTGGGGCCTGCCAGGCACACCAAGAAGAGAGATTTATTTTATATTTAAGTTATTCTTTTCAAAACCACGTACCTATCTATACTTCACCGGGCAGCTCAGCACCATGTTCAGTTATATTCTCTAACCCACCATAGGGACGAGCCATGTTAATCTGGCCCGCAGTTACTGAAAGGTTGCCGACCCATCTTATATTGTGCTTGGTATGGTGTAAGCCAAACATTAGGAAAGAGAGTTCTGGTAGTAGTTGAAAAAACTTTCCAAGCAGAGGCCATATGACTCTCCACATACCAGCTCTTTAATTTCCACCACATTCCTGAGAGGCATTTGTGACATAGCAAAGAGATTAGCATGCTTTTGGACCTTTAAAAAGCATTCATTCAAACATGTACTTCATGCAAGGCCGTTTCTAGGGGCGGGCGATCGCCCGGGGCGCAAGCGGGTTAAAGGGGGATGGGAGAGGGCGCCAGAGTAGTAAAGGGGGAGAGGGGGCGCCGTTGGAACTTCTTGCCCTGAGCGCCAACACGCCTAGAAACGGCCCTGACTTCATGGGAAACTGTAAGGCAGAGGTTCCTAAATGGGACTCAACCCATAGGACACTAAAGTTGTGTGCAAGTGATAGAAAGATTGGGAACCACAGCAGTAAGGGGTATTGCAGGAGTTGCATCGGAGTGAGGAAGTCCATGATAATCCTCACCAGCACAGAGCCATCAACAACTGCAATCACCACTGAACTGGGCTGAAATACAGCACCACCTCCTCCTTCTCAGTCTGGACTTGGCCCCTACTGATTACCTTTCATTTTCAAGATTTAAGAAACATCTCCATGCAGAGGTTGCACTAAGTTTCTGATGCTGGCCTACATCCCATGGGCCCTGGGATGCACAGGCAGAAGGCCCAAGACTGTTGGATTGAATATCACACTGCTTGGTTATGTTAAGTCTGCAAATAAACATGTATTGCTGGACTTTTACTTTTGGGGAACCCTTCCAAGATTCCCTCATGCTTCACTTGGAAAGTAATCCCCCCAATTATCAGGGGACCCCTACAGCAAGAAACCTAGTGCAACCCCTGCCATGGTAACAGATTTGTGTCATAGTGACCTGGAAACATCCTTCTTTCAGTAACCCAGTTACCTAAGATGCTTATGCTCATGGTCATACATGGAACATCAGTCACAGATGGGTGAAGTGCAGAAACAACAGGGTATTTACTAGGGCTGTCACGATAGCAGTTTTCAAAACATCGATGCATCGACCTAAACTATCGATAGTGTATCGATGCATCGGGGGGGGGGTGTGCCGATTCCATCTTTTCTCGCCGCGATCGGAGCGCGGACTTCTATCCAGCTTCCATAATCTCACGCTTGTAATCGGGATGCAAGGGGAATGCGTGACCTTCGCAAAGAATAATGAAACCTACCATGCCTGCAACTATCGGACATCCATTCATCGATGGATGCATCAGGACAGTCCTAATTTTCTTCGTTCTACACTGTCTTTGGACATCGGCACCGGCAGATAGGAAACCTGCTGATGGTGCCATACCGGCGGTTGCCGAAACAGGTACAGCCGTAGAATAAGCAACGTCCATGTAAAAAATTCACTTTGATTTCACCTTAAGTAGAGATGAAACGCCCCAAGGCAAGTTAAAAATTAAGAAAGTACGTCCATGTAAAAAATTCACTTTGATTTCACCTTAAGTAGAGATGAAGCGCCCCAAGGCAATTTAAAAATTAAGAAAGTTAAGCCTGCATACTAAAGTGATAGGAATACACAGAGGGGGTTATCCAACGTACGTTTCGAAATCAAGGCAGTATAAGAACAGTCCACTTCCGCAGAATGCACCTGATGAGATCGAGCCGGGAGACTGAAACTGACGACAAAAAAAAATATATATATTCTTGGGCTTCCCTCTCTTTTCCCACTTCCTGTCTCCGATCCGACTTTTTTTCCCTTCCCGTCTTTCATATAGTCAGTCCCAACATTTCCAGAATTTGATTGTGATATGAAATTGCTCGCCCATGCGTGTCACGCCGCTTCTTCCTTTCCTCGCCTGGACGGACTGTATTGTACAGTACTCGCCTCAATTCAATGGGACATTTCCCCGTTAAAATATTTTGCCGATGCATCGCGATGGTCGAAAAAACTATCGATATCTCCAACTATCGATAGTGGTATCGATGCATCGATCTATCGTGACAGCCCTAATATGAACCATCCTCTGATTCCTCTCTTTTCTGACCTTTTATTCCATTGCTATTCACCAAGAGCAAGAATTATACGGGACGACGTCCCCAAAAGCGAGGAAACAAGACTTTGGAGCGTTGAAATCCCCTGGGAAGACAAGACATTCGAAAGCATACCGTACCAATCATGAACCGAAAAAAAAAATTATTCGAACCTGACTACTTTCCATTGTCCAGGTGATTAGGCAAGTTTCTAGCAGAGACTTTAAATCACAAAATCATTAGCATTACATACCAGAGGT